ATCATCATCATGTATCATCATCATGTATCATCATCATGCATCATCATCAACATGTATCATCATTATCATGCATCATAACTATTATCATGTCTTATCATCATCATCATCATAATGTACAATCATCATCATCATACATCATTCTTACCGAGAAGAACGTTGAGTTGTCCCGGCATACGTCCTGCCACAGGATGAATACCAAACCGTACATTGATACCCTTGTCTTTCAACGTACGCACCATATCAGCAATAGCGTACTGGGCCTTAGCAACCGCCAGGCCGTAACCAGGCACGATAATCACATCCTTAGCACTGGTAAGCATTTCTACTGCTGAGTCAGCATTAATCTCCGTGTGCGTTCCTTCGATCTTCACTCTCTCTCCGGTTCCTGTGAAAAAAAAACCATTAAAAGATCCGAAACAACAACCAAACTAAACACTCAATTCAGAACTTAGGGCGTAACAAAGTATTTACAATTTCCAATCCGAGTGGGGTTCCTGTGCGTTAATTATCTCTGGACATCATTATGGGCTTCCTGTGTAATATCTCGYGTGCACGCACGTGGATTGCATACGTCACCCAAGATATGACATCACACTAGACACAACGACGTCACAATATGAAAATCAAGTGAGAATAACGGTATGACGTCACAGACAATACCACGTCACAATATCATGACGTCACAGATACTACCACGTAATAATATCATAATGACGTCACAAACACCACCACGTGATGATAGCATGACAACCAAGTCAGAAAGGATAGCGAGAATGAATTCTTTGTCGAGTTACGTTTGGGAAGAGTTACCTGCCAAGAGTTCCTGTGAGAATGATGTGGAAGGTGATGAGGAATGGGTGTGGATACAAGGTGTGCGAGAGGAGGTCCAGACGGAATCCTCTTCAAGGTAAGACTGCCAACAGAGAGCAAGCTTGAAGGCAGGGAAAATATAGTAGTTTTTGTCGTGATGTTTTTAAGGCGACAATTGACATTGCATAAGCAAAATCCAGTCAGTGCAGAAAAGAAAGAAATAGAAACCGCAAGGTTGCGGCAGAAGTATTTCTTTTTTTTAATGCTTTTGAGGAAAATGAGCAATTATTCTATTCCTTAATAGGAAACGCAGTTTTATTGGCTACCGATGCCCGAGCGCACTCATTTACTTTGCCTTGTAACTAATTCTTTCGACGTAARCTTAAGGGGAAAATAAGACGATTTCGAGAAAACTCCACACGCTATCTTTTTTGATAATGGCTAAGGCAATCGATATCATTGTTACAACCTCGTAGACAAATGTTCATTATTTGCATGTGAAAACATAGCTGCGAAACGGTTTGCTGAGATTTTTTTTTCATTATCTAGCTCGAGTATTTCTACATTAGAAGAGAACAGGGAGGCTTCTTCAACTAGTAGACGTAGAGAAGAAAGGTTTTCTCAAGCAGAAGCTAGCTCTTCCTCGTCTCCATCACCCAGTCGACCCATAACCAGAAGTCAAAAACATCTACTATCGTACACAGAACTTGGAATAGCAAAACCATTAAAACGACTGCAGATAGGAGGAGAAACAAAGAAGAATAAAGGCGTAAAAGTTACAAGGAAGAATACACGACACAAGAACGTTGTGTTCAAGCTACAGGGAAGGAGAAGTCACAGAAAAAATCAAACGTACAAACAAGATAGACGGTAGCAGAAAAATGGTTAAAAAGAAATAAGGAATCTCTTTAACGCACTTCATGTATTAAATCTGTAACTAATAAAATGTCTTTCAAATCTTCTTCAAATATTTCGCACCTTCAGGTTTAGATTATTTTTTATTCTTTATTATCTTTATTATTTTTTATACATTTTATAACGCCTTGTTCTAAAATTTGTGTTTTACTGCATCCAGTCAAGAACATAAGGGACGGACCATTAGATTTTCGAGGGGAGGGAGGGGGGGGGGGGATTAAAAAAAAAAAAAAGAAAACAAATCGTGCATAAGAAAAGTGCCCGAAAAAAATTCCAAATTATGTCCAAAAAAATTTTCTGCACAGCCATGAGGCGTAAAGAAAATTCCTGCACGAAATAAATTGCCCAATCCCCCCCCCCCCCCCCTAAAAAATCTAATGGTCTGTCCCTAAAAGGTACCGACCGATCATTTTCAATTGACGGCAGCGAAAAAACAAATTTCAGCGTGCAGCTTGTAACTACCGAGCCACAGAATATTGAAAACCGCAGTAAGAAATAAATATTAGTAATATATAAATATTAGTAATATATAAATATTAGTAATATATAAATATTAGTAATATATAAATACTAGTAATATATGTGTGGTTTTCCCTCTGGTTATCCCTCAAACCACAACGTATTTGTAGCAGGAGAAAAAAATTACGAAGGCACTGGTAATTGCACTGAATATGGGGAATGTGAAAATGGTGGATTGTTAGACGTACTCACCAGAAGACAGGGTCCCATATCCACCAAACAGGACATTAGCAAGAGATCTGTTCATGGCCTTACACATGATGTACGAGAGGATGCCTCCAGAGAACCCAACCAAGGCGCCGACGATGGTCAGGAGGTCATTATTCAACATGAAGCCCTCGGCACACAAGGCCCATCCGCTGTAGCTGTTGAGTACTGTGATGACGACTGGCATGTCGGCACCGCCGATGGATGCTGTCATATGCCATCCCATGATCATTGATAATGCTGCAGTCGTACCTGAAAAGTATACGTTGAATGGACAATTAATTTTTACATAAATTATTTTGCGAATATCCTGCTTTCATTCACGCTATTTTTTAACGGGTGTTTATAAATAAAAACAAAAACAAAAACAAAAAAGAAATCAACCCCCCACTCCCTCCCCCCCTCAAAAAAACTTGATTTGTGTCACGGTCGTGTCAAATACTTATGAATGAAAGCTTGTTTTCCGCTGATGTTCGTTTTGCAGAGGTTCCTCTGATCAATATGAAAACTTATTATCATGCAACTCTAAATACGGACATGCGTGTTTCTGTTTTGCGGTTGTATTAAAAGGCTCGACCACTACGAAAAATGTATCAATCTGGTCGTATTAGAGGTTCGACCATGTGAACATCTTACCCAACATGGACAGACAGACACTGTTGTCTCCACTAGTCATGTAATATCCCATCGCAGCAACATTGGCCAGTGCCATGGCAATGTTCAGTTGGTTCTTGCCCGGCAGGCTGAGTGCCTTGGAATCCAGTAGAGCATGGAGCTTGCCRAATGCTACTAACGACCCAGTGAAGGTCACTCCTCCGATAAATGTCCCCAGGAAGATTGCGGTTTTGTGGACATTGCCTGCAGGATCTAGAGCAAAATGATCTCCATCGATCATGAACTTAGCGATGGCAGTCAAGACTGCTGCAAGACCTACAAAGCTGTGGAAGGCTGCAACGAGCTGGGGTAGGTCACTGACGGCGATASGGCTGGAGATGGCTGCTCCTATGGAACCACCAACAGCCATCATGGCACTCATCTGGGCCAGGACATCTGGGCTGGGATGGAGGCTACCGATGGTGGCAGCCATTCCAGTACCAATACCAATCATTCCTGGAAATAAATCAGCTTATTAGTACTTTCAAGCTTCTTGTAACCTTGCAACCTTTTGTTAAAAAAATCCTAGGTATAGCATTCTTTAGGGGAGGGGTTGGGGGTCAAATATATTTATCAGGAGAGTAGTTGGGGTCAACCATGCTTAATTTTACCCCAACCTCCATTTTAAGGACATCAAAGCATCAGGATCTTGGAAACAATGCTTAGACATGCAGACATACCTAGAGAATTGCCCTGTCTGCAAGTACTTTGGGTGGACAGACCACTGAGTGCACCAACACAACAGAGAGATGAGATGAGGTAAGCCATCTGGTCAATATCAGGGTATCCCATGTATTTAACTCCTGCATAACCACCCATTGCCATAGCAGCAGGGAGGGCGTACATGTACGAGTACTCTGGTGGATCACCTGTATTTAAAGAATACTATCGGTAAATTGGAGTGAAGGATATAGACAATTGAAAAATAATGTATATCAATGTATATGTAATGTATATTAAATGTTATATCTCAACATATTGGTTGAGAGTTGTGCGCAAAGAATATTGAATGTAATGGTAGTGTGTGTGTGTGTGCAAGTAAAAGTGGACTAAATAGATCCCTATCAATAGATGAATATTTTTTGGTACATATTAACACATATTATATCTGAAAACCAGGCCATTTTAGATTAAACTGTTTTGCTAGGAGCAAATTTTGTTGAATTTTCTATTGAATTTGAAGATTCTATCCCCCACATAAACAAGCAGTGACGTCATAGTGAAATAAGGCAATTCAATAATTAAAACTTTCCAGGATAAAAAGTATAACAGCTAGACTATCAAGGCATATGTTATATGGAGGTGTGAGACGTTCTTACCTGGACGTCTAAACATGTCTAACATTCTCTTGGTAATAATAAAGCCACCGGTAATGTTAATAGATGAGATTAGTGTCGCAGCAGCAGCTAAGGTTGTGGCAGTATTATTTGGTAACATTCCGCCACCCATCATTACCAGACCACCAGCCGCGGTGATTCCAGAGATGGCGTTTGTTACAGACATGAGGGGTGAGTGAAGGGAAGGGGTCACTCCCCACACTACCTTGTAACCAATGATGCCAGACAGTGAGAAAGTGGTTATCATGGTTGCAAATGCGGCATTGGGCGAGACTGTGCTGAGAGCCAGTAGAGATCCAAATCCAGCTAAAGGGTATAGAAACAGTTTAAGTTAAAATAATAAATAAATAAATAAATGAATGAATGAATAAAATAAATGAATGAATGAATAAAATAAATTAGATAAATAAATAAATAAATAAATAAATAACCTTATTTAACGTGGAGAGTACACTTAGCTAACTGCTAGTTTACAGTGTAGTCCACAAAGCATAAAGGGGTTTAAGAATCCCAACTGACAAGGAGGTAAACCAGTTGGCTATTTACAAGCATGGTCGAGAAACTGAATTTGAACTAATCAGAAACCATGACAAATACAGTCTCAGCTAGTGACCACAGCGGGGCGGGACTCGAACCCAGCACCATCGGATTGCCAAACTGGCACTATGAACACTCGACCATGCTGCCCCCTATTAAATAAACTCTGTTTATAGAGGATGACAACTGACAGCAAACTCGGTCCTTTTTTAACATCTCTAGTTAATTAGGGACGGGACCACCATTAACGTGATCATCCGAGCCACATGAAGGTCTAACCATTTGTAGATGTAATTACAAAGACAGCACCTTCTCCTTAGTTATTTTAAGACCCTAAGAGTTGGTCYGACCGAGGCTTGAACCATGACCTCCTGCACAACAGACCAATGCTCTTACCAACTGAGCTAACCGGGTGGTGGTTTTAGTTATTAGTTGTGAGTGGTCTACAAGTCAAATAATTGTTATAAAACATACATGAAATGCACAACACATACCAGCAGTGAGACCTGCTTCTTGCAATGCTGAATTGAAAGGAGAGAGCTCTGGTGGTTTGACGACGGCTTTTGGCTTTGATGGAGTAGGGGGAGGATGGCTGATCGCTGGTGGAGGCCACATCATTTTACCATCTTGCAATACAATTGATCCTCGGATGACCTCGTCATTCAAGTCTATACCAAACTTTCCCTTCTCCCCTCCCATGGACAGTAAATATTTGGTCAGGTTGTTGGCATAAAGTGTGCTGGACTGAGTGGCTAGACGACTTGGAAGATCTGTGTAGCCAACAATCTACATACAAAGAAATAAGAAGATAATGTATCAGATGCTGCCTTAAATGATGAGGATGACACATGATGATGATGCATGATGATGATACATGATGATGATACATGATGATGATACACGATGATGATACACGATGATACACTA